TAATAGCCGGTGGGTTTCGGAAGTCCACACCGTAGACCCAGTTGCTATGTCATTCTGATAAGTCACAACTGGAGACGACCGGGGCTTCTTCAACCCTGGACCCACCACACAGACAAAAGCCTAAACCTTAAACCCCAAACCCTAAACACAAAAAAAAACAAACAAGCCCTCAAGGGCTCCAAAACCCCAAGCCCTGCAGGGCAGTAAAACCTAAACCCCAAGCCGTCGGGTTCGGGTTTAGGGCTTAGGGTTTCGGGCTTCCGGTTTACGGTTTCGGGTTTCGGGTTTAGGGCTTACCTTGCGTATCGAGTCTGCTGAAAGCACGGATGTGAACAGCGGCAGGTCTAGGCCACGTAAACATTTAAACGCAACTACACCCTAAACCCTGAACCCCCGAAACCCCTGAGACCCCAAACGCGCTAAACTTTAAACGAGAAGGCACCTCAGCGAAGCGCTGGTCAGCCCCGAGTACCTCACGGCGATCCCTTTGGGGCTCAGGGCTCGAAGGCTTGGTTTAAGGGTTTTCTTTTGAGCACCTTTTTCCGTCTACTGTCTTCAGGGTTTAGGGTTTAGGGTTTAGGGTTTAGGGTTTCGGGTCTCATAAAAATTAAAGTGGTCTAGGACATTACGAGGTCTTTGGGATGTTGAAACGACCTTTTAGGGCGTGCCGCGACATTTTGGGTTTTCAAGCCTCCAGCCCTAAGCCCTAGTCTCAAACCCAAAACCCCCTCCACACAGCCCGAACCCATCCCTAGAACTAGAGCCGGCAAGAAAGGCCTAATCCGAAAACAACAGCAGCAGGCTTGTGAATGAGCAGACCTAGGAAGGCCCTAAGAGCAAAAAGATTAATAAAAAAAAAAGCTGAGAAACCTAAACCCACGAAACAGACCCTAAGCTCCCAACTCGGCACCCCAAAACAATGCAGCTGCATTGAAACAACCCTGACCCGAAAGCGAGCTGTCGCCTCGGCCATCCTCTCCCCGACGCCCGTGCTGAACAGAAAGCCTTGCACGAGGGTCAACAGTTCGGTTTAGGGTTTAGGGTTTAGGGTTTAAGGTTTAGGGTTTAGGGTTTAGGGTTTCCTGCCCTCCTTGAGACACCTTGAAGCCTAAACCCCAATGCCCTAAGTATAATTACAGTATAATGGGCCCCAAAACCATAAGTATAATTACAGTATAGTGGGCCAGTGGGCCCCAAAACCCTAAGTAGACCTAGACCGGAAAAGCCCATGCTCCACCCATGCCCCTAAACCCTAAACCCTAAACCCTAAACCCTAAACCCTAAACCCTAACTCCTTTGCTTGGGCTTCTTGGCCACAAGGATCGACCCGCCCGAGGCTCTCAGGTTTCAAGGCTCAGGTGGGAATTTCGGTTTAGCGTTTAGGGTTTAGGGTTTAGGGTTTAGGGTTTAGGGTTTAGGGTTTAGGGTTGAGGGTTGAGGGTTGAGGGTTTAGGGTTTAGGGTTTCTTTGAAGACGTGACTTTGAAGCCCATGGAAACCCCAAGCCCGTCCAAGGGCCCCAAGCCCAAAACCCTAAACCCCCCCCCCCCCCACAAACACCCGAAACCCAAACCTCAACCCCAAACCCCCACAAAACCCCCCGAAACGCAAACCCAAACACCAAACCAACAATCATTAGAATAGGGTTTTGGGGCCCATGATTACTATATCTATAATAAGGAACCCCCAAAATAATATTACCACAAACCAACACCCTAAGCCCTAAGCCCTAA